TTGAGCACCAGAGAATACCATCTTGAAAGAGACTGTATACCACGTGTTCATACTGACGTCTCCAGTGAAAATTTTGCTTCATATAATAGCCAGGCTCGGCTGCTGCCTGTTCAGTTGCTGATAGCTTCGGAGAGCCCCTTCTTGCCTTTTGCCCCACATTTGGGCAACTGATTAGAAAGTCTGAGGCTTAGGCCTTTGGAGCCAGCAGGAGATACAAGCCACACCCTTCACTAGCAGCTCTGGTACAGGCTCCACCCCAGCCCATCCCCCAACCCCCTTCCCAGGCTATGCAGACCTGCCAGTGTGGACAGAACCCAGGAAACAGCAAACATTTCACACTCTCCAATCTATTTACAAAGCAGCCCAGGGTGGGGACCTTTACTGTTTTCTACTGGTCTCACAGACCACATCACTTGCTTAAATTTTATGCTGATAGCCCTTTCCCTTGGGTTGAAAAAAGAAGTTCTGATCCCACAACATTCACATCACCCTAACTCCCTGTGATAACAGAGAGGTTCAGAATAATGATATCTATATTTCTGCCAATATAATTATTGAAGACTGCTTAATTTTTTCAGGTTATTGTAGCATCAGGAAATACCAATTTTCTAATGGACGTGCCATTATACTTCGAATTACTTTCAGGTCATGCTGCTGCATTTTAAATCCTACTATTTAAATCCTACTTTCAGGATTTTCCTTTCTTTTCTTTAATTATTTTGGGTAAATAATATATGTTAAATAAAATAGCATTTTTATTTAATGTAATTCATTTTTTTAGTGCATTTAACACCTTATTTATATGGTTGTAAGCATTCATGTGGTTTGCAAGTCAAATCTGCAGGCACACACACACACACACACGCCAGCAAAATAAAATCAGATTCAAGGAAAATTACCATTTCCTAACAAGACATTTCTGATATTTCAAGGGTAAGATTTTAGTTAGGATGATAGTGAACAACTTTTACCAATGTCAATAACAAACCTGGAATCCCAAGTCCTCTTTATGATGACAGAAAGTCAGTTGTGGATCATGTCCATAGTTGTCCAAGTAAAAGAGATCATAATCTAGAAAGGTGTCTGATCTACTGTTAGGGTATTGATCACGATTGCTGAAGATCTGTTCCCAGGAATGCAAATATCCAAACTCACCCGAATGGAGTTTTCCCTTTAATTTTTCAGACTCTGATAATTTAAAAGGTCTGATGTCTCCTTTCCAGGGGAGTGGCTATGGTGTACCTCCTTACACTCCCCTGTGGAAGGGTAGTGCATGAGATCTCCTTACACACCCCTTGGAGGGGCAGTGTCTGGGATCTCCTTAAACACCCCTGTGGAGGGGCAATGCATGGGCTGTTCCTCACACACTCCCATGGAGGGCAGTATACCGGAAGTTCCTTACACACCCCTTTGGAGAGGAAGTGTGTCGGCTGCTCCTTACACGCCCCTGTGAAGGCACTGTGCACAAGCTATTCTCTACTAGTGGCTTTCCTTGTTGTTGGAAGCCAATACCAGACGAGATGCAATTTAAGCGGGGAGGGTGTTATTTTGGTTCATCATTTGGAATTCACTTAAAGACCTGGCACGTTTCCAAACCTTCCACACATCTTCTGGAGGCAGCCAGCAAAGCGGCTTTCACTAGTCTTCAGCCTTCTGACTGACTTGTGAATCTCTAGGAACCCTACACAACAGAGATGTGTTTCTAAGACAAATGAGCAAGGAGAGCCGTGAGTCAGCAAGAGAGCACCAGGCGATAGCACAGAAACCTGAAAGATGAAACATTGAAACATGGAAGGGGGAGTTTTCAAACTTAATGTTAATTTGAACAATTCAAATCAAAATGATACTCCTTTCTGACTGAGCTAATTAGCAGGGAATTTTAAATGCTAATGAAGTAAAGATCGGGTATAGAGCAGATAGTCTCAGGCATTGAACTTGGCGGACAGACTGTGACAGCCTCCTGGGAAGACAGCAATTTGGTGATTAAAGTGCATGCTACTTGATGAAAGACTAGATTTTGGAAGCTCTAAGATCTGCATATCAAAACAAGGTTGTGTCTCAACATGTCCAAAGCACTTATTAAATAATAAAATATTAGAAAAAACTACCAATTTTCAAATAGGAGGAAACAGAATTATCATCACAACATTTACCTATAATAAAATGTTTATAATATTAGATGAAAAAGCCATTTTATTTACTTGTTTATGTAGATTTGGTTTATTTTTTGCACATTTGAAGAGTGTGTATGCATGTTTGCGTATATTGGGGCACACCCATGCCCCATATTTATTTGTATATGGGTATGGAGGCCTGAAGATGGCATTGAACCCTAATCCTAACCCAAACTCCCTTCTGGAGAATTCTCTGACTGCTTGGACCAGAGGTGGGCCACCAACTCTGAGAGCTCAGCTGCTTTTCTCCCTAGAGAGAAAAGGGGAACAGAGTGTATCCACTCTGAGCTGCAGAGAGTCTGGCTCCTGTCAGCAGGAAGAAGCTAGGGACTGAGCACTGGGAGTGGCCTGGGCCTAGAGGACGAGGGACAGGAGTGTGTGTGTGAATGTGTGTACCTGTGTGACCTCAGAGCCTGGCAGGACTGAGCCTTTTGATAGCAATCAGGAGCTTTGAAGGAAGGAGGCCTGGTAGGCAGAGAGTCAGGTGACCTGGCTCAGTCTGGAGTAATGGTCCAACAGAGGAGTCCAAGCTGAGCCCCAGGGGTCATCAGAGATTGCATCTTATCCTCTTAGTGCTAAGACAACTTGAGTGGAGAAATAGGAACAGAATTGGAGAGAAACAAGGGATGTGGGCCCATCTGTGCTTTGGGAAGGTTACCCTAATAGGCACCCACTACCCAAAGAGCTATGTGCAAAGGTCCAGGGGTCACGGTAGGGACAAAGATATGGCATTAGTGAGAGGAGCCGCGCAGACCTGGTAAAGACCCGTGGAGTGCCATGAAAGGGAGGGCTGGCCTGGAAGGCTCAGTCCCTGCTAGAGGGCCTGGATCCTGGGGAGGTGGGAGTGGAGGGTAGGGGGTCAGAGGACTGAAGCCAGTCAGCCTCTCTGCAGGCCCTGGGCTCATTGCAGATGGACCCCAGTCCTCCTGCGGCCCAACAGTCTGATACCCTGACTCCCTCCCTCTATCGTATTTTCATAGTAAAATCTTTCTCTCCACTGCGAAATGGGAAAGTTGAAGGGGGCCCAGTGACAGTGATGGGGAGATATGGATGAGGTGGGGCTTCACATGCCCCCTTGATTCGTTCCGGTGTCAGCAGTATTGAGAAGTCAGAGCCCGGCCCTGTAGTCAGCAGCCCCAGGGGTTCTCTTTGCCCCCAGGGCCCTCCTTCATTGATTATGTTGCTTTAAAGAATTTGAGCATGAGCCAGAGTAAAGCAAAGCTACAGAGTTGAAGATTAGGGAGAGCATATGCTTTAAAGTGAAGAATGAGGAAAAGAGAATGGGGTGTCTTTTCAGTGACTATTCATATAGTCCTGTGGTTGGGAGTATGCCCCCACCATGGGCTCATATATTTGAATGCTTGGTCCCCAGCTGGTGGAACGGTTTAGGAAGGATTAGAAGGTGCCTTGTTGGAGGAAGTATGTCCCTGGGGGTGGGCTTTGAGGTTTAAATTTTCCTCACCATCCTGAGTTTGCTCTCTCTCCCTTTTCCTGTCTTGCACTTGTGGATCAGGTGTAAGCTCTTAGATACTTTTTCAGGGTTGTCCCTGTGTGCCTGCCTGCTGCCATGCTCCCTACCATGGTAGTTATAGACTCTAACCCTCTGGAATGGTGAGCCCCCAAGTTTAATGTTTTTTTTTTTCCTGTTTTTTTGTTTGTTTGTTTTAATAAGTTGCCTTGATCGTGGTGTTGTGTCACAACAGTAGAGAAGTAACGAGACATTGTGGCTTTTAAAGTTACATCCCCCCAAGGCTATAATTTACAACAAAACACAAAGCTTAAAATTTAAGTACGTTTTAAAATGCAGATACATGAGCTGAGAGCCAAAGGTATGGCGCTGCTCTTGCAGAGAACCTGAGTTCAGGTCCCAGTAGCTACTGCCTACAACTCTAGCTCCACAGATCCAGTGCTCTCTTCTGCCCTCCACAGGCACCTGAACCCACAGCCAGCCACACACACACACACACACACACACACACACACACTTACACATAATTCACAATAAAGTAACAATTATATATAGGAATATATGAGCTGGGCTTTTGTGGGTTTTTTGTTTGTTTTTTAATGAATTCCCTTTTTTTCTTAACGAATTCCCTTTGGTAAATGCAAGTCTGAGATGCTCTTATTAGGTGCATTGCTTAGATTTGGGGATGAGAAAGTAAAGCTTAAGTGGTTAGAGTAGAGCTTGAATCCTTGCAGTCCTAATCAGGAAGGCTCAGGTCCCCATTCTCAGTAGGCTAATTAAAGAGGCAGGTAACAGTGAAAGGCAGAACAGGGAGATTTATTCAATGTGGCCCCGTTGTGAAAAGGAACAAAGAGGCGCAATGACACCCTAAATATATTATATAAATATAAACCT